TTGATTTTGGTGTTTTAAAAAAGTTAGGCATCGTTGTAGAGACTAGATTATATGATTAATTGAATTTGCTAGCCGTGAAAGAGGGTAATATAAGTTTCGAAATTTCCACAATTTTCTTTTTTTGGATATCGATTATTATTTTCAGCACATATTTTTTCATTGTAGAATATAATTTGATCATTTTTACCAATAAGTATTTAAGCATTTTTCCACGCTTTGGCTCATATTGACAGTTTTGGAATTTAGAAAATTATTATTGAAGTTTTTTATTTCTTTCATTTATTATCATTCCTTTTCCAATAGCAATTTCTATGTTCCTGAAATTGATGGAGGAAAAGGCGAGGAATTTATTTGAAAAACTACCGGAACGTATAATTCATTTTGTAAATTCATCCAAAATTGTACCGCTGCAAAGAATAAATATTTAGATGATATTTGCTACTTTCTTTTTTCGAAGGAGGTAAAGGGAAGTTTTCCAAAAAAAAAGGGCGATGGCAACAAGGTATTTTTAATTGATCAAATGGACATATAGACAGATATTTTAGATATATTTTTGTCAACAAGTAAATTGAAATTCTGAAATGAGACACTTTTCATCACTGATGATAATTTTCAAAGAAAGTGAAACAAACAGATCTTTTGAGGAGATATACTTAAAGTTCAGAAAATAAAGTAATATTGATAATATTTTTAATATTATAAGATATGAAAATATTAGAACTGTAAAGCTTATAACTTAGTTTGCGGTAAAATTTCTTCCTCAGCCTTCTCTTCCTTCTTGCCTGCCACTGACGCCAGCAGTAATTATGCGAAGGTGCGGAATTTAAAGTTTAATACGACATTTATATACATATATGGAACATTAATTAAATAAAAACACAACTGAAAAGATTAAAAAGGGAGAAAGAGTGAGGCAATGAGTAACACAAATTTGTTTTTATATAACCTCGAAGCAACAATGCAGTCAGTACCCATTTGAACTAAAAGTCAGAATTTTAAAGTTTAAGAGCAAATCAAACTATGCGGAAGTTTGATCCTTCTGCATATAACGAATGACAATGATGTTCTTGGAAAAATTCCTATGCGATGCAATCAAGAAACAGTCAAAATAGAAGAGGACGGATTCTCACTGATTATGTCGTTCCTGGTTCACACAGACTGGTGCTGATTCGCCGCACTGGTCTAAGTGGTACTGAATTTGCACCTTTTGCAAATAATGCCTGAAAAGAAAACTTTGTGGACTGTATAACTTGCATATATATAGTTGTGTTATCAAAATTATATTCTTTGTTGTTAAGGTGTTATGATCAAAAATCTATAAATGAAAGATGCATACTGGATGTACAAATGGTAGAACGCCACCACCAGGACAGGTGACTCGAGCACAAAACTGATTCAACTCTTCATCATTCTTCATAGCAAGAACGATATGACGAGGAATCAATCGTTGACGTTTGTTGTCCCGACAAGCATTCCCGGATAATTCCAACATCTGCAATACAACAACTGAATATAGTACAAATGGCAATAGTTCAGACAGTGCACAGAATCGCTGCAAAAAAACAACTTTCTAATAGCTAAAGAGAATGTGAGAAATGGAAATACAGACCTCGGCAGACAGATATTCGATAACAGCACTCAAATAAACAGCTGCGGATTGAGAGATCCGTCTCGCATAGCGACCTTTCCTAAGTAATCGATGAAATTTGGTTACGGGAAATAACAGTCCAGCACGAGCTGACTTGCTTATTTTCTTGGCTTTTCCACCGCCTCGCTTACCAGCTGGTGGCCGACCACCTTTATTCTGCAATTCTAAGTTTTTTTTTCTAATTATAATTTAGTTCAATATTCAATCTATTTTCAACATCGAATACAGATCGACACGTAACTATAAGCGTCACTAATTTGATGAGATGTAATCATAATGATACGCAAATATTCCATTCCTGAAGTAGTATTTTTATCGTAAGGACTGTACAAACTGTACATTTGTAGATACTAATAGTACGAATATTTGGAAAATCTTCATAAACCTTTCTTGTATTTGGTGAAGATGGTACACTCGATTTATCTTCTTTTTTTGCAAGTAAGCTATCCAATACCGCCATAAAAGTTTCTGTCTGGAATATAAAGAATTCATGAAAATATCATTTATTAAATTTTATTGTACATTTTTTTGCTGTGATGTGCATTGTTCTGTTAAATTGATAAAATAATTAATGAGTAGTAGAGAATGAAATATAAGCATAGACTCTTGAAATTAATAACAAACTATAATAGGATAAGATAAAGAAGAGACCAAAAGACATTTTACAGTTAACACTAAGATTTTCATATCACTGAATGAATAAAGATACAGATAGGATCAGATTCTATCTCTATCTCTACGTAGGCAAACATTTATCAATTCAATTCTTTTAGATAGCCTGTGGGCTCATAAAATGATTTAAATATAAAACGGTAAATACAAAATTGAATATTATTTATTGCATCAAAAAAAGACACATTAAAAATGATATCCTATAAAAGTTGATGAAATTGTACAATTTAAGTACCACGATTCTGATTACTATGCAAAAAAAGCACAAAATAACAGTAAGAGAGGAAGAGATAAAATGATGATAAATGTTGGTATGTTATGGAAAACGAGACGCGCCAGGAAGGGAAGAACCAGCAGCAGTATCATTAACGCCACGATCGATTTCACGATTGGCTCAGCTCTTTCCACATTTGCAGTAATAAGATCGGTGTTTTTTGGTCGCTTGGTTAAAAGAGAGAGAGAAAGGAAGAGGAGGAGATAGACATTTCGAGAATCGAGAAATACCGATATATAACAAATGAACTGTTATATTGAAGTGGTGAAGCTCAACGAGGAACCGTAACCGCGCGATATGCTCAATGGCAGCAGCCGAATGACACTGATCATTCATTAATTAGGAAATTGCTACGCAGCAGTAATGATGAGCGATGTCTGAAGTACATCTTATTACAATAAAGGGTTGATGGTCGGGAAAGGATAAATGGAATGAGTAGTCTAGTTTCTCTCGGTACCACATCCGATCTGTACTGAAAATGCAGACAAACACTGCCAAAGCATTCTATAATATCTAAACCTTCACTTAAAGCAATATTTTTGATAGTATTGATGGATGCAGATGAAAGCTATTCTACAAAACCTGCTGCGAAATTTAGCTCATTTATAGCGTTCTTCTCTCTCTCCCTCTCTCTCCAGTGATCGTTTTTAACGGTGACACCGATTGTACATTAATATACAAATAATGTAATAAGACCTGAGGAAAAAATTTACGTTGAACTTGTCAAAAGGCACAATTAACAAAACATTGTATTATGTGTGACATTTTCATCTAAGGATAGGTAAATTGCAGAGAAAGAATTATAGATTGCTGGATATGTGTAAACCCATTGCTATTGCTAATTAAGCTCACTGTGGTCATCAAACTATCATTTGCAGAGAAAGTGTTAGAATGAGGTTGGCAGGCCTAAAAACCAAGAACTTAGATAGATATTTCAGTGGAGAAGCATTCTCAGGATAAGATAGAATGAAGATAACAAAAGTTTGAACAAATTTGAGAAATGAAAAAATGTAAGAAACGGAATATATGCAGTCATAAATTGTTCAAAATGAGCAGAAATTTGATGAAGTGATACATATATAAGAATTTGTGTAATTTGAAAAAAGTTTGTTAAAGCGGAATTATTTGTAAGAAAAACGATAGAATTGAAAATGGCTTAGTGAGATAAAAAAAATGAATTAAAAAAAGGAAGCCTCTTAACGGTTGGTAATTTAAATGAAGTAAAGGAGATTAAATTTGGAAATGATTTATCTGTCTATTATGGAAAAACGTGAAAAATAAGCATCAACTTTTAAGCTTACCTTTAAGGTACAAAAAATGGATAGTAATTATAGCGATTTCAAAAACTGTCAAGAAAAAAGTAGTAATTTCCTTGAAACGTGAAAGTTTCTGATAAAATTGCTGTCACATATTATTATAATCTGATTGTTGATGAATAGTCTCCTTGTCGATTACGTTGAAAATTCCATTTTAAATCATAAAATTGAAAAATCGCAATTATAATTGATAGATAATTTTTGGCAGCACTCAAAAGTTAATTTATTAAGTAGGAAAAATTGTTGATAACCATTAATTTAAAATTTTTGATTTCTTTTTTACCTTGCGAGGGTATATTTTAAGTTTAAACAATTAAACTTGCATCATTTGATCTGAACATTTACCTGTCGTAATATACAACACAATAAAATTCTCTCATAATTTTCATTTTTTAAGCACAACATTGTGTGGCGTGAAAATGATTTCAAACACATCGTTCATAATTCCGGTTTTCTCAGCATAGAATTGATTCCGGATTAATGGAGAAGGCAAAGATGTCTTCTTTAACACTTGTGTGTTATACATAAACAGGACTAAAGTAAAAACATTGATGGTATAAAAGCCTTCTGTTCACTCCATGCTGTATTGCAAGGAATATAAAAGTTATTGAATAGACAACTTCTGAAAAAAGAACCCAAATATTATACTTTTCTTTCCGCCACACAAATAATATGACATGAAGAGTTTCGCCTTCTTCCTCTTCTTCTTTCATTCTCCTTTAAAAATTACTAATAATGTATAATATTTTATTATTTACGCTATCTTTAGAAGGTAATTCCTACTGAAATGAAGTAATTAAATTTAAATGTTGTCTTTTATTTTAAAAAAATTTCAAAGAATAGAAAGTTGTAATGTATATGAGGTATAGCCTACTGTTCTTAACCATCATATTTCAACAGTATTACAAAGGTCACTGAGATCGATATTATTGTTCACTATTATTTAAGAATAATTGCACATAAAGTAGAATTATTTCAAACTTGGTCTTTTCTAAGGACACTTACAACGATACTATTGGTCGTATCGGGAATGAATGCTTATCCTATCAAATCAGGTAAATTTTAGCTTCTGATAACTTTCATTAATAGCCAATTTGAAATATATCCTTAAATTAAAAGGAAAAATATATAATTTATTTGTTAATGTTTCATAATTTTGCATATATCATAATATTGCATATTTATTTGACAATGAGTGATATTTAAGGTTTTATTGTCTTCCGAAAAGTCGTAAAGCAAAAATGGTAAGAATAAAAAGTTAACGTTTATTGGAATGCAAAAATAAATGATAAAATGGATGAGTAATGAGATGATAATATGAATAAATGTGAAATAGACATTGTTACCAACGTAGCGTTCATTATATTGTATTATATTATATTATATATATATATATATCGTTTGATACGATGGAAACTTATGTGCTCTTTGAACTGGATGACGTTGATATCTTTCATTCTGATAATTCTCGAGTAAATATATCTATCTCAATTATCGCTGCAATAACCCTAAGATATTCCGCTGTGTCCACTACAATGACATGATATGTTAAGGGAGAGAAAAAGAGAGAGAGAGGGAAAGGTTTCGAATAGATGAGTGAGAGAAGATGAATGATACTTCCTCTCTTTCTTCCTTTCCCTTTTCCTTATTTGAATTGAACAGTTCTTTTCTACATTCTAAATCATTCCTTCGTAATAATGGTCGATCGTTCAACTAAAGAAGTGCGAAATTGCAAAAAGAGCACGAAGGAGAGGTGAGAAGATATCCCGGGAGCTCTATATTGTCCTACTTACCGATCACATCTGTTGACAGTTTCATTAATTTACACTCGCATCACATTCCTTAATCCTTCTCCTCGATTAAGTGTTCCATTGAAATATTTTTTGTTTTTGTTTGATTAATTCAAATTTTTCTGCTGCAATCCTCTAAATTATTGTTAAAATATGCATAACATTATGTGCATTTGGTAGATAGTGTCGTTTTTATGTCAGAAAATTAACAACAAGCTGATAATGATAACGAAGAGCGAAGTTTATGATAAAGCCTCCAAATTTAATGATAGCTAAGAATCACTGAGGAAGAATTTGATTCGAAGGATTATTACTGATAATAATCGAAAGACGGTCTAAACAGAAGCGCAAGAAAAGTTGTAAACATTTTGGATGATTGTTTTCACCGATAAGCCTTAACGCAGGCCTGATAAGGCTATTAGCATTTGTTTTTTTGGATCTTGCCGTTTTAGTGAAAAAATTCTGAAGAGAACAACAAGAAATGTCATAACTTAATAATGATTTTCTACCATCTTAACCATACCTTTTCCATATTATTTGCAGCTGATAGTTCGACAAAACCGCTGTTGAAGATATGCAACAGAAGGATCGATATCTGATCGAATCATCCTTGATCGCCTTACCCGGTTATTGTGAAAATTTTGTATTTTGTAGTGTATCAAGTTGAAAATTTTAATTTTAAAAGAAAAAACAGTTAAATTGTATATTGTTTTTGTTAATCAATACTCTTTCTATCTAATTAATGTTTTGCAGGATGTCGTGATCGTTTAGGATCACCACTACTGTTTATAAATTTTATGGAAGGTAGCAATGAGCAGCTCGGTACTACTTTTGCATGTTCTTATCTTGCTGCTACTTTTGTTTACTTGAACTATTATTTGTAGCAACACTTCTTTTATATTATGAATAATTTTTCAATAATTTACAAATGAAAAATTACTGCTTGGCCATTTCTCCATTGCGAGTTAATTAATTTATTTCATAACTTTATGAAACCTAAATTTAAAATGGAAAAGAATTTTGTTTAATCTTCCACAATTTTCCCATTATAATTATTTACAAATGAAGTAACTTACTGCTAATATCAACTATTTTTGACCTATGCGCTGTCCTCAATTATTATCAAATGAACTCGAATCTGCTACGAAATTTAGGCATGGAAACAGTCAGTGCTCCGAGTTATGAAGAATTTGTATCAGTCATTAATTACCTATCCCAAATACCTCATGAAAATATTCGCAAATTAGGATTTACAGTAGTGATTGATGGGCGCAAAGCAACTGTAAAGCATGTACGTGGTGCATTACGAGCGTGTCAGGTTTGTCAATTGTTCATTGTTCTTGGGCATAATAAAATTGAATTAAATTAAACTAGATTTAATTTGTAATACATCTTCACGTGTAGGTAATCATTGCAGCAAGCATTATATCGTCGAATCCGATCTGTACTTGTCATTCAGCCAGAGAAATTCTTGGAGCAACAAAAGCTTAATTTTGAACTTATTAAAGAAGCTTATCAATTCAAGGTAGGCGTTAACTTCAAAGTGAATGAGCTGTCATCAAGATCATTATTACAAATAATATTTATTTATTTCAAATGATGTTTACTTAAGGTAATATTTTCAAAAAATTTCCTTCTTATAAGATCAAAAAATTCCTTATGAAGTTTAGATGAAAACGAAAGAAAAACAAAGATTGTTTTTTTCCAATTTAAAACAATTGTTGTTAAAGGAGCTGAAAAGAGAAAGACATTCTAATTATTTTAATTCATTCCAGTGCACTCTAATCTCTCTGCATAAATTATCACGCTTCATAGATGTTGCGCAATTACCAGACGCACTCGGTGGTACTCTGCAATATGATTCGTATTCATGGATTCTGCTTAGAGAGGTTCTTTTTTTGTCAACAGTTCTGTTGAGTAGAATACAGCTTTTTCTCACTTTCGATATTTTTGTTTTCTCACACGAAATATGTTCAAGAAATTTGAGAATTATGTGAAGCGAACAAAAAATTGGATAGAAAATAGCAAAAGGCATGACAATATGATAGCAAATCAGTCTGATGAGAAACCTTTCGAAGAGGATAATTTCGATTTAAATGAGCTTCTCAAAACAGGTGAAAATTTTTATTAGAATAGTTTTTGTATGGCTTTCTTCTTTTTCTTTTTTTTCCGGCAATAGAAGCTTGAAAAGTTTTTAGCCATCAGGCCTAATTCAATGAATTGGAAAGGAATGACTTTATCATAAGTGTCAGGCTTCAGCAAGTTAATTATGGTGAATTGACAAACATTCTCTGCAATTGCTCATTTAGGAGATGATTTACTTGATGAATTAACACAAAATAGTGGAGTAAAAGGGACGCTGAAAAACGCCGATTGGGAAAATGGTGCACAATGTGTTGATTTGCTCATGAAACAAATTAAGGTTCTTTTCGATTTTTGAATAAGGGAGAGTGTTGTTTTTTTTAAAAGGATTTCTTGATGAAAACAATTTCTATCTATCTTTTTCACTTTTCAATTAATAATGTTTTGAAATGTGATTTCGTTTTCTGAAGAAAGAAGCCTTCGTTGTTACTCATTTCCTATCTTAGTTTAATTAATTATTGATTCTATTCTGTCTATTTATTTACTATCCGATACCAAATGCCTCCTTAGTCAGTACTGAATTAACTGAATTTGAAAGAAATTGACATAGTTTTAGGTTGATTTTAAAGTTTTTTCAGGAAATCAAGGAGAAGCCAACAGCGATAGTAAATCGAGAGGAGAGATGCGCATCGTTGAAGTTATTGAAAGATCATAATGAAGGAGTGCATAATTTAGTGAATTGGATACTGAGCGCTGGTGAGAGATGGCTTTTGACCCTACATGAGATCGGGGAATCATACGATGATGCTAAGCAATTATTGAAAGAACACAACGAATTGGAAAGCAAGTCGATAGTTCGTTTATTGCTCTTGTTTCCAAAAATGTTAAATTGAATGAACAAAAAATATTTTCTTTGCATTTGCGCTTTTCTAGCAAATGATGCTAACAGTACTATAATTGATAAATACTTGCTTTTACGGGCAAATGATGGAAATAAACTGAAAATTGATTGGTTAGTGGTTTAAACAATATGTAAATTTTATCAGGATGTGGAAGAACAATCACGTGAATTAATTGCAATGGGACATGAACTACAACGTGAATTTCCAAGATATGCCGTGACATTACAGCAAAGCATTGACAAAGTGCAACAGTTGGTTCGTGCATTCTGCGCACGTGTTATACGTCAAAAGGAAGTCGTTTTGCGCTCAGTTAACTTCTATCGCATGCTGACTGATGTATGACTTTCATCCTTGAAGCTTCTTTAATTAATTATTAAATTTGAATCTAACATTTTATTAAGTTCTATCAATAATGGTGATAATATTTTAATTTGTTTTATTTCGGCGATTTGAGTTAGAGCATATCTGATGAATAAATAAAAGCCTAAAGGTGTGAATTAAGAAAATACTTCAAACGAAGAAGTGAATAGTAATAGTTGGGATTTTTAGTTCTCACGAAAAACAAACTTGCTATTGGAATCATTGTGTACAAATGTGAAAGCGAATGATATTGCAAGTGCCGAGGAAGAGCGAAATGAAATGGAAACTAAAGTAGATGACATGGGTATTGCTTGTATTTTATTTTGAATTTCGTTATCAATATAATATATCATTCAAATATATGACTGCTCTTTCGTAATATTTTATTTTCATCAGTTGATAATGTGTATTTACTTTAATTCTCATTGTTCTGTAATTCCGATATTAGAATTTATAATTTTTCTTTAAGAAAAAATCTACCGTTGTTTGATTACCAGTGGTATATCGTTTATTGATGAACTTTGCATTAATGAATCTAGTTCAATGGGCAGATCAATCACACGTGATTATTCAGCGAGTATTGTGCAAATCAGGTTGTATTATTTATATTCTATCTTTATTCCATTAACTTTTCAACATTCTGATGCATCACTTATATGTGGATAGAAATTACTATTTAAATTCATTAGATGAATTGCAGAAAAATATTGGAGGATTCACGTGGTCGAAGGCAGCGTTGTCAGAATTTAGCAGATGTTCGAAGATTAAAAATTCATCAACTTTTACAACTCTATACATGTGAAGAAGACAGCCAACAGGTTATTATATTATGATATTGAATTTTCTCAATTAGATGAAGAGGAGCGAAAGAAAAAGATCATAAGACACTTATTTTGATCATTGCAACTGAATTAAATATCGAAAATTTGCAATCATAGTATATATTGGAATGTTCCGTGGAATTTTTGAAATAATAGGAAGAATATGTATTGCAGGTAGTTATTTGGATTGAAGAACTTTACGAAACATTGATAAATGGATATAATGAGTTACTATATGACTTTGAACAATTATATCTCGTGCAAGAGAATAGATCGAAACTTGAAGAAACTGCGCGAGTTAGTAACTCTTCTGTTAACAGTTAGTTGAACTGATTAATTTCATTGATCAGGCATTCAACTGGGATCGTTATTGCTTAAGATTTGTTGGATGATTTGCTAAGATTGCTTATTTAGGGCTTTTCTAATTTCATTTCTCAATGTTTTTGTCTAATTTTAATTGAAGATTTTTGGTTAAATTTTAAATTTCTAGAAAACTGCAGACATAATTTGCAGAGTACATATGGATATGGTAAACAGTTATGTCAAGTGATACTCGTATTAAGGAGATCGTTAAGAATGGACGTACAGCCTGGATTGAAACTTAACCGAAGATTAGAGTCAATTTGGGAAAAATTTTGTCATACTTTGAACGAAAAAAAAACGAAATTTGGTATCATTGGTACTTTTCATTCAACGATTCAGAAAGTAATTCATTTCATGACATTTAAGGAATTTGCAATATTTCAATGAAGAATTTCTCTCAGTATATCATAATATTTTTCCAAGCGATATCTGATGATCAATAGGTAAATGAACGCCTTGATGAGTTGTCGCTTCGACTGGACGGTGAAACTTTAGAAAAGTATCCGGAAGAAACATCACTAATTAAAGAAAAGCGAAGTATCGCAAATGACATTCATGAACTGAAGCAGGTCGCTGATATTCTAAATCAAGAAACAAATAGTAAAATACCAAGGTAATATTTGGTTTTTCTTTTAGTTCTCTATGATAGCAGTAGTTGCGATATTCTCTATGATAGCAGTAGTTGCGATAGACATTTTAATGATTTTTCAAAGATTAGATTGGTTTGAAATTAATTCAAGTGCTAAGTGATCGAAAATACAGCTTCAAAAATTTTTTGAATTCTAGCCGGCATTTTTATTTGTAAATTGTGCTTCGCCAACTTTTTCAAAACAATAAGCTGCTAATATTTCGGTGTGGTTGGGAAAATGAAAAAAAAGATGAGAATTAAAAAAAGCTAAACTAAAGAGGGGAGTATTTTAGGAGCAGAAATAGTGCAGCGACTTCTTGGACTCGAGCTCTGAATGGGATCCAACGAAAATTTGATGAGGTGAAACAAAAACAAAATAAACTATAGATGATCTGCGAGGATAAAGAATGTCGTAGTATTATTTGCGGAATTATCTGCGGGATTTAAAGCATAATTGATGGATGATAAATAATTGATGTGTAATGCAAATGCACAATATAGTTATCAAAAAGCAGATTACCGCATTGCTGATATCCATCCATCAGAGCAGATTGTGAAATTTTGTTAATTGGGAATTAGAAATTAATTAGAACGGTGCTTTTTGAAATTTCTGACGCATAGTTTGAGGATGATTATGGTATAGCTTTAATGAGTGATTGAACTAGTTGATAATTCTGCTGTATGTTGAAAGTATAAAAAGCTTCTTGGTATGATGAAATACATCATAACATATTGAATGCACGATGAGATCATCACTTCCATATATTTGCTTGTTAATGCCGCTTTTATCTAATGTATAAATTTCAATTCTTTGATATAAATTGGAAAGTAACATAAATTCAGTCATTACGTTCAATATTGTTTTTCACTAAGTCACTGTAATTATCTATTCTGAAATTGCTCACTTCCATGATAAGTTGTGATTCTTGCTTCCGTTAATAATTATTGTAAATTAATTATTTGAGTTAGCAATGTAATCTGAACAAAAAGAAATGTTTCTTGAAATATTTGAAAGATTTTAGATAAACGAAATCGAATGATACTTTAAGCAGCTCTAATTTATATAATAGATTATAAAAATATATTGATTAGAGTGATATCGCTGCAACTAACATTGAGGTACTTTTGAATGTGGCGCGTATGTAATATCAGGGACTTGAATTTAGCTTTCAATATAGAAGATTTTACCATTTTCAGTTCCAAACATTAGGCCGATCTCCTCTTATCAAAGACACTTTTATAAATCAATCCATTTAAGAAAAGCAGGAAGAATGCGGGAGACTATACCCATTGATAGAAATGATGTCTTGAAATCTTTTCCCTACTATTTTTTCCTTTTTTTTTGATTGATATATGTAACATTTCTACAGATCGGGGGGGGGGGGGGGGGGGGGGTTTTTTCTTTTTCCATNTCCCTGAGATTTCAGCTTCAGTGCTATTTAGGCGTATAAGTAGGACACGGAAATTGGTACCACCTAAATCCAAAGCTAAATAATCACCTTTTTCCGTACCATTAGGAACAGCTCTTACAAATGATGGCAACATTTGTCCATGCTTTATAATAGCAAGTTAAGGAGCTGTTAGGATTTGAGTGAACTTTGAAAAAAAGTAGTTTTGAAATCTGTTGTGTTGGGAAAGTGTTCATCTTGAATTGACATCAGCAGAAAAACACATCGCTTTTTTTTATGGAACATTAGGAGGAAAAAATTTGAATGATAAGCTACCGTGAAAGGTCATTAAGAGGTCATGTGAAAATTTTTATGATCAACGTATGATCACGTGATATTATAATCTGTTCTTGTACACAAATACATATTATGTCATTTTTTTTGAAACATGAAAAGGATAAATTAGATTACCAATTTTTAAATGAAATTAAATCAGCATTTTCAAATGAAACTTGATTCTTTCCGATATATTGTTATAATGAAGTATAAAAGATTCCTGAATGGGAGGAGTATTTCATCATAATCAGGCATGTTTCATGGCAAAAAGGATAATGAAGTAAATAAAATCGCTTGGAAATAGAAGTTAAATTATTCAAATAAACTAAACAATAAAAAATTTATACCTTATGAAAACTACGGAATTATATTTTCAAGCTGTAATCTCAATGCCAATATAATTAATTTCAGTCTCAATAAATATCTTAATTTTGCATTGGATTATTGGGATGAATTAATTTCCTCATTTTATTTTTCTTGTTGAATAATGATAACTAGTGGGAAAGGGATTGGTAGTAATAGTTAATGGAAAAAAAGATTGCTAAAATTATGGGCTTCTTTAATTTGTTTATGAATAAGAGAGCCTGCTTCCCTCAGCAGAATGTCAGCAGCTCTTAAAAGACCTATGTGGTATGAGAGAGAGCAACTTTTTAACTTCAACTCATATGTTTCAGTACTTTATTACATCTAATAAAATCTGGGCCAAAATTGAGTGCTCATAATGTTGCCCGGTAGTAATCATGTGTAGAAATGTCACCTATCAACTGTCGTAACAGAAACGTTTGGTAGTTCTGGTCTTTTTTTTGTCTTTCTGAGTTGATTTACCTGAACTTTGTCTTCGGATCTGAAGCATAAGTTCCACTCAACTTATTTTATCAGCTTACCATTATTCAACAGATCTCTTAATTTTTCACATTAGCGATAATAAATATTCAAATGCTTTTACCACCATCTTACTAAAACGTTAATTTTATGGTATCGTTAATTTTCGGAATTTATTAAATTAAACCATAATTTTGCTTTTCACAACAGCTGCCCATCAGTTACAAAATACATGGGATAGTTAGTTCGGAATAAAATAACGAAAAAACCGAGTGAGATGAAAGAATCGAAAATTCGGTTTTTGTTATTGATAAACGATTTCTCGATAACATTTATTACGGTTATTTGCACTATCACGGACAAAATTTCCTCCTAAAAGAATCAATAATGGAATAAACGATTTTAAATTTTCAGCTAAGGCATAGCTTATTCTGCATTATCAAAAAGTTTTTCAAAAATTTTAAATAAAATGAAATCATTTTTCAATTATCATACTCAGAATTTCAGCTATCTTTAATTCAAAAATAATGACTAGTGAGTTGCATTTTTAGTATGATCAAATATGTTCAAATTATCATCCCTTCCACATCTATGCGATTATAAATATTTTAAATTTGCAATTTGTTAAAAAACTGAAGTTGAATGTTTATGGTTGATACATTCTTTAGCGATCATAGTCAAAGGCAATTTGAATTATAAGCACCTGCATTTTGTTATCCAATGGATAATTTTCCTTGTTGACATTATTCATTTATTAGTTTCCGTTTTAAAATTCATTTCAAACTCTAAATTTGTAGAATTCTCCATCAGACAGAAGAAATATTCCTTCAAAATCATAATTTTTTATTCAGTTGTCTTTTATCAATAAGATTAAAAACATTTTGGCTTTAACAATTACCAATGCTTTCTGTTTCTTTTCTTCTTTTTGCAAAAAGAGAGTGTAACAGTCTGAGAAATATCGGTCCATATAAAGAATCCCGCTTCATCAGGGGTAAAGACTTATTTCATGTTATTACTTTTTCAGAATTTGAAGTTTTATTACAACTGGAAAGACTTTTTCTACCTCTTAAATTACCTACAATCATTCAACATGCAAGTAGTTGGTAATTTAAATAGAAGTGGAATTTTCAGTGATCTTTTTAGAGATAATATCGAATTCTTTTGAATCATTCACATACGATCCTAAATAACTGGCTGAATTAGGCCTTTTTTCTTCTGATTATTCTTCTTGCAGCATTAATGAACATAAGTTTTAAATACTTCTCAGTAATTTATATCCTAATTCTATATACAAAGAAGTAATTAAGAAAGAAAGAAAAAAATATTTAAATTAATTTCCGGCAAAATGCTATCTTTTTAAATTAAATCAAACGATCTAGTTTTCCGTTAATGGCCAATGCCATTAAATAATGCATTACATTTGCATGTGATATGATATCATTAATTCATTATTATATATCATATAATGACATAGGAAATTTTTTGTTTCATATGCAAATGTGCATTGGAAATATGGGACAAGCCACATTACACATAATTACAAATAGGTAAATTTTAACACAAATTTTGCTTTACCATGATAAATAATAAATGATCTATTGACTCAATGCTAGGATGATTAATGATTTCAACCTATGTTTGAAACTTATTTATTTCTCAAATTAAATCATTGCTCTTCAGAAAATAGCTGATTTCATTTTCAGCTGATTATAAAGAACGACGAAAGCCGTTAATGTTCTATAATGTTATTTAAAATTCCCATAAAGTTTTAACTAAATTTCACATTCTTTTTCAATTAAAATAAAACTCATTCATGCAATAGAAATGTAATTGAAATGCATATTTTTACCAATTCTTTAATCAATTTACTTTTTTTTTCAATTTTCTGATGTAATTTCCAATACTTCCAATTTTCTATTGATGGCTGTAATAATATTAGTAATGAAAAGCTATTGAATTGATAATAAACTTTTCGTATTATAAATGGAAATAGTTGGTTTAATAGAATAATGGAAATCAATTCGTAAATTTTATTGAAAGCGAGATTTGTTAAAATAGATTTCATAAAATCACCCAATGGAAACTTTGGTGAATAGAGGAAATTTGTTGAAGAAGTATTTCTAAAGGGATTTAAACAAAATTGATGTAATACATTTGATGTTTATAATTCTTCTGTTCATGGTGAACATTTGCGCTATCAAATGATTCGTTAGTTTTATTTATTGAAATTTTATTTGATGCCCTTATAATATATAATGAAAGTTCATTATTGGAGGCTGACAATAAGAATCCAAAATTGGTAAACTTGTTCCAGTTCCTTGTACGTCAAATTGGATTTTAATAGTTTTTTCTATGTAAATTCAAAATGTGGAAATGGGTAATTCCCAATTGTCCTTTCAAATATTTGCTAGAAAATGCTGGATAGAACTTGAAATACTAATTTTTAATACATTTGCGCTTATACTAAGCACGAAACATTTTCTAATTTTCGTATCAATAAGAAATTCTCGGCTAAATTTTTTAGAAATGTGGAAAAATTATCAAAACGGGTTTTCGAATCTCATTTCTTATTATAGCTAAATTGTAGCTAGAAATCTTAATTTTTAGCAGAAACCTAACAGTTAATAATTTAGTTTTTCCTATTTGTATTTCTTAAGATATCACAATCCTTAAGATACAATATCTCTCATTTAAAAATGCTTATTATACCAATACTGAAATTCACTATAAAATTGGATAAGTTAGTAATTAAAATTTTGAATTACGTCATTATTTCATCAACTTCTATAACTAACATTAATTTTAAATCATTTTTATCTCTCAGAACTAATATCAAGATAA